CCTTATTTACAAACATCAGTAAAAAAAACAGACAAGGTTCTAACCCCTCACCACTCAAAATACAAATTTTCACTTTAGATACACTTTAAATATGCAGCGAGTGGCACACCACTTTACATCACACCCATTCATTTAGTGAGTGTTTTCTATATGCAAACACAGCTTCTAAAGTATATTCAGGTAAGGACTTTAAATGTTTAATATTCTGCCATGTTGACAATGCTATCCACTTTTGTCCTAGGCATAAATGAGATGTGGAATAATTAGACTACATGCGTTTAAAGTACAGGTAAACCCCAACTAAATGGCAATGAGTTTGCTAAGCTATGTACCATGTAATTATGTATCATAAACCATCTCCATTTTTTTAAAATAAATTATTTGTTTAACGTTTTTAATCCACTAGCAGGCTACATGCATGCACTTCAGCAACAGCCAAATGTCATTTCTCAGGGTGAGTTTCCAGATGATGACAACAGTTGACCATCCTGTGCAATGTTTGTTGAAATGGTTACTTGTAGTCCCCATTAGTAGAGGATGTGCCGCCTTGGCAAACTGGGAGAACAGTTGGCAGATAGGGACAGATAGAATGTTGTCACCTTATTACAGAAAGTGCATGCACAAGGTCTACTGTAACAGAATTACCAGGTTATTATTTTCATGAAATTACATTTCTGCCAGTGGTCTCCAAACTGCGGCCCGTGGGCCGAATGCAGCCCTTTGATTGCCTCTATCTGGCCCTCAGGATACTTTTTCTCCCACTGATACCAACAAGGAGGCACCATTTCTTCCACTGGCACCAACTATGGGGCATTTTTCCTTCCACTGACACCAATGATGGGGCACAATTCCTCCCACTGATATAAACAATTAGGTACGATTCTTCCAACTAATACCAAGGTGGGGACACTATTCCTCCAACTAATACCAAGGATGGGACACTATTCCTCCAACTAATACCCAAGGATGGGACACTATTCCTCCAACTAATACCAAGGATGGGACACTATTCCAAGGATCCACTATTCCTCCAACTAATACCAATGATGGAGCACTATTTCTCCTCCTGACACCAATGATGGGGCACTATTCCTTCCACTGACACCAACGATGGGGCACTATTACTTCCACTGACACCAACGATGGGGCACTATTACTTCCACTGACACCAATGATGGGGCACTATTCATCCGACTGACACCAATGATGGGGCACTATTCATCCGACTGACACCAATGATGGTGCACTATTCCTCCCAATGACACCAGTGATGGAGCACTATTCTTCCCACTGTTACCAATGATGGGGCACTATTCATCCCACTGACACCAATGATGAGGCACTATTCCACCCACTAATACCAATGACTGGACACTATTCCCTCCTTCCATTGACTACAAGCACTATGTAATTTTATTTTTACTCTTACTGACGCTGAGACATTTTCTACTGCCACTGGCCACTCCAGCCCTCCTAAAGACTGAAGGACAGTAAACTGGCCTTTTGTTTAGACAGTTTGGAGACCCCTGGTCTATGCTAACACCACCCCCCAGAGAGCTCCCCATCGCCACCACAAAGTAGGTGACTGACAACCTCAGCTGTGCATGTTTCCCTATGAGGCTGTGCAGAGCTGGTGTGTCCATTCCCACTCAGGTCTCAGATTACACTCCCTGATTTATTTTATGCAGTGTGTGACATCAGATCCCCACCCCCTGCCTTCTTGAAGCTGAGAAATATTGTGTATAATATGTGCTTTAGGAGGCTGTACAGGAGAAAAAGCTTCAGGTAATCAGGTAAAATATATTTGTTTCTTTTCTGTGTATCACCAGTGTAGTCACTTCTCTGGGTAAACAGCATGTATGGGTTTACAACCAACATATGAAAGCTTTTATTAAAGGTCTCAGTCACATGACCAGTCCAGTATAATCACTTTGCAGTGAGACATCAAAGAGTCTTATCTGTATGTTTAAAAGCTCATGAACTAATTTTGTATATACAGTTGAGGATTAAAAAGGATAGCAGTTCCTCTCTTAGCAGTGTTACAAGATACTGTGTAAGTGATCTACTGTAAGTAATGGGAGGTTCCCTGCATCCAATACTAACGCAAACGTTGGAAATGATTGAGATATACGTCATGTTAAGGACTAAAATGCTAGATCAAGGTAGATTGCCTTATTTGTGTAGATCACAAATATCTGTTCATGATAAGAAGGCCTGTTACTCAGCATACATCTGTTTTATGGTAATCAGATGAGCAGTCAGAGATGAAAGGAAATGCTTTGATGTATTTAATAACATGTAATTGGATATTGTCATCTTACTTATGTTTATAAATGGACTGTCTCAGATTTGCTTTTTAACTGCTAACGTGATCAATGAAAACTGCCGCAGATACTTATATTTTCTCTCAACATGTAACTTTAACATTTTCATGCAAGCAGACAAGGAGAGATAGAACTCAGCATGTTAACAAAATTACAAGAAAACTGCTGACTTTTTATAGTTAAAGATCATTTTTTCAATCCTTTTAAAGTCACTGCAACTATTAGAGCTAAAAATGCATATCCTGAATACTTGTTCCAGGTTCTTTCCAAGTTGTTTCACCCCCTTTCCAAGAACTAAACACTTAGATTTCAGCTGCTTCCCAGTTCCATTCCATGCCTCATTCATTTTTTCAGGTATGTACAGTTGTGTTCCAAATAATAGCAGTGTGTTGAAAAAAGTGAATAAAGCTCAAAAAAATCCTCCTAATAGCTTTTATTTCCATACACACAAATGCATTGGGAACACTACACATTCTATTCCAAATCAAAACATGAAGAAAAATAGATCAAATTTGTGTTGTTCCTCTAAAAAAAATGAAGAAAAGTGAATATTAGACTGTTCAAAAATATAGCAGTGTTTGTATTCTTTACAAACTCAAACATTCACTATATAAACTGAAAAATGTTTGAAGATTTTGCTTTGCTTTGAATCACTTAATGAATATTTAGTTGTATAAGCACTGTTTCTGAGAACTGCTGTACATCTGTGTTGCATGGAGTCAACCAACTTCTGGCACCTGTGAACAGGTATTCCAGCCCAGGATGATTGGACTACATTCCACAGTTCTTCTCTATTTCTTGGTTTTGCCTCAGAAACTGCATTTTTGATTTGCATTTGCGATTATTTTAGCTGAGCAGCCTATCATTTTCTGCACTTCTTTATATGTTTTCCCCTCTCCAATCAACTTTTTAATCAAGGTACGCTGTTCTTCTGAACAATGTCTGAAACAACCCATGTTCCTCAGAATTTTAGAGGGAAATGCACTGTAACCAGCATGTACAACATTTTCTGCCTTCCTTCCCTAAATAAGGGCAATAATTGGCACCTGTTTTTCAAAGAATGAATGACCTCACTAATAGAACTCCACACTGCTATTATTTTGAACATGCCCCTTTCAATTAGTGATTCAATTACACAGAATCAGCAGCATGCATGTCATGACTGTTGGGTCTGTTGGATTTCTATTACTCTACTACACCTGCTAGTAAATTATTTGCCATGTAGAAATATCATTTCTACCAAAAACAGTGATTGATCAGATTAGTGATGTCTGACTGCTGTTATTTTGAACACAACTGTTTGTATATAGTGCCAACAATTTATGCAGCACTTTACATATATTGTACTCCTTACCCCAATCTTCCCAGCAATCTCCTCTGTCCACCATTTCTTTAGGAACCCCTATCTTGCTTTCAGCCCTCCTGTATTGCATTGAATTGTAACTGTACTGTCCCCGGTATATTATGAAGCACTACACAAACCTTTGGCACTATATAAATACTGAATAATAATAATATTGTGCTTTCACGTCAGTCCTTGCCTTCAAGAGCTTACAATCTAAGGTCCTTTACTCTCATGCATACATATAACACTAGGGCCAGTTTAGACAGGAGCCAGAAAACCTGCCAGCATGTCTCTGGAGTGTAGGAGGAAATCAGAGGAAAACTCTACAAGCACAGGAAGAACATGCAAACTCCATGCAGGTGGTGTTGTGTTTGGGATTTTCTTTTTTGTTTATTCTCCTTTTATTAATTTTAAATATGAAATATTACACAACCTTTAACCATTGAATCACATTCTATAAAAATATTTAACCCTCCTCCCTCATTGACCCCAACTCAGTCCTTCCCTAAACTTCTCAGATACCATATCTACTACATACCCAAAGTGTTATTGCCCCAGACCGCTCTCAATTTCATATACCCAAAATACCCATAAACCTCCTTGATTTCTTGAACTCCAACCATTTCCCCCAGTCAACATAATATTTCTTTAATGAATCCTCTTATATGCATTGTCTCTTCAATAGACCTTAAATTGTTACTAAACCCACAACAGTAAAATCAGTCTATATATGCCGTAAAGCATGCTTGTTATACTCACTGTGGAACCTGAGGGGTTAATCCTCTGCATTGTGTAAAAACACTGTTTGATCCTGACTTCTCTGATCCCCCCCTTCTTCCAGTGTCTCCCTCTTATCTCCTGATAAGTCATATCGTGTGGAGTCACTCTGCACATCCTCAGTTTAGTGTGTATTGCTAGAGAGGTTTTTTATTTTTTTCTTGGGAGAGTGCATGCGATCAGCACAGAGCCAATCAGCACTGTCCAAGCAGAGGGTCAGAGGTTCTGCATCCTCCTAGAGCAGAATGAGAACTCCTCCTACAAGCTTTAACTTGTGCTCTGCTGGCCACTGATAGAAGTCACAAGACTGCTCTAACTGCTGATGAGAAAAGGTATTTATCAGTTTATATTTACATGTTTGGGATTTAACTGATGACCCCTCATTCTCTTATACTAATGATGAGGTCCATAGAAATATATGAAGACACCACAAAGATAGAAGGGACCAAAGATTACTCTATGACTTTTCTTGTGTTAACAGAGCTTGTTTTTTTCTTTTTAAGTAATACAACACAAAACCATCCATTTAATTGTATCATTGTACCAGTACTTACTTTTGTTGCCCATATGTCCCCATCCTGTAATATAACAGTAGGTGTCTGGTTCCACCAGCTGGCCCTTGGAAGGTAAGCACACAGGCCTTACATAGCTGGTCTCCACAATGTCTTCATTTAACTGCACTATGCTGATGTCATAGTCTACCACAGCTCTGTTGTAGCGTGGATGAAGGATTATTGTCTTTACCATACGTGTCTGCATGAAATCAGATGGATGATCCAAGTTGTTTATACCGAATACAACTTTCCACACAGCAGCATGTTCCCGCCTGTGGAAAAATTACATGTTACAGTCTTCTAGACATTATTCATATATGAAAACTTCACCAAAGATGTAAAAATTATATTTACTCCAAAACTCTGTTCTGTTCCCATATTTTTTAAAAACATCCCATACTGAAACTTTCCATGGGTAATCTGCTCTGTAATGCATGTGCCAAAAAGGTTTTCCATTGACCATATGTATATCTAAACCCTAACTGTATGACAGTTAGCTAAATCAATGTGCATCATAAACAGTTGCCATGATTTTTTTTTTTGTTTTCCTTTTAGGAGATGCTGCTTTCACCATTTTTCACACTGTTTGGCATCTAAGTGTAGTTGCTCTCTTTCAGCTACTTTTCAGTCATGTTGTCTAGATAACATACGTTAAAAATTATTTCTGATGGGATTACTGAATGCAGTTAATCATAATTGAAATCAGAGGCTAGCAAATCATTTGAAGATAATTTTGTATTTATTTAATTAACTTTAATAAGTGACCATTGAAATCAGTCAACAAAGCAAGCGAGAATAATGGAACAAAATATTTTGAATCCCAACTCAAAAAAATCTAAAAAAACTAATACAGTGGGGAAAATATTTATTTGATCCCCTGCAGATTTTGTAAGTTTGCCCACTTACAAAGAAATGAAGGGTCTATAATTTTTATCATAGGCGCATAATAAATGACAGAGACAGAAAATTAACCAAAAATCCAGAAAAAACACGATAGAAATGTTATAAACTGAGTTGCAGTTCAGTGAGTAAAATAAGTATTTGATCCCCCAGCAAAACATGACTTAGTACTTGGTGGAGAAACCCTTGTTGGCAAGCACAGAGGTAAGACATTTCTTGTAGCTGGTTACCAGGTTTGCACACATCTCAAGAGGGATTTTGGTCACTTGAGATCATTCAAAATCTCCACCCGTGTAGTTCTGGGCTGATCGCTTACTTTTCACTTTACATGATCATCCTTTACTTTACATGATCATCCTTACCCCATGAGGCAAAATCTTGCATGGAGCTCCAGACCGAGGGAGATTGATGGTTATTTTGTATTTCTTCCATTTGTGAATAATCACTCCAACAGTTGCATCCTTCTTAACAAGCTTCTTGCTAATTGTCTTGTAGCCCATTCCAGCCTTTTTCAGGTCTACAATCTTGTCCGTGACATCCTTTGACAGCTCTTTGGTCTTGCCCATGATGGTGAGGTTTGAATGGAAGAGATTCTGTGGACAGGTGTCTTGTACACACATAACGAGTTAGGAGCGCCTTCTTATATCGACAGGACTAATCTGTTTACCAAACTTACAAAATCTGCAGGGGATCAAATAATTATTTTCCCCACTGTGTCTTTTTTACAGGTGTGGATTACTAAAAGAAGAATTAAAATTTCCTTCAGGTCCATGACCATTGGACATATTTTCTCTTATTTCCTGAATGTACAACACTAGGGCAGGAAGTGAGAGAATAGCTCTCCAGAGAGAGAAAACCACAATAAAACACCCATTGTGTAGGCCTTTTTAGAAGGGTTATAACTTGCGAGGTTTTTACTGCTGTCTGCATCCCTAAGAAAATAGGAAGAGGGATTACTCTAACTTTTTGTCTGAGAGGGAATCTTTGGGATCTATTTATAAAGCATTCATTGGATGAATGTCACATACATTTGTGCAGGCTACATGCATTTTGGCTGACATTTCTGTAATAGATTAATTGCTATAATCATTTTCTTCATGTACAGTAGTGGCCAAAATGTGGAATTTTGTTTCACCTGGGTATTTCAGAAAAATACACCACATCTTGGCCATTATATGGTGCTGATAATCACAAGAAATGATCTATTACTGAAATGAGGCCAAATTCTGTTCAGCCTGCATGAACGTGTGTGACATTCATCCAACGAACAACCCCTTTTTTCCAAAGTGTGACAAGATGTCATTGAGACAAGAAATGAGATGATACAAACAACAGTAAAAACATAACGGAGGTTCTACTAAAAACAAATTTAAAAAAAAGAAAGAGAAGACTGTGGAAAGTTATAGAGAGCATATAATGGAAATAATGCATGTCCACCAGGACCAAGGAAACATGACAATATATTGGAAGTTATACAAGAGTTCCATTAAATGAAAAATGGCTTCTAAATGACTTCTAATATTGTTTTTTTTTCATTTACAGCATACTTTTCCAGCTGCAATATGCACAATCTTCTGATGGAAGCATTGGCTGAGGTCACTGCAGGCTTTGGGATATACTGTAAATGCATTAAAAGAGAACTGCTATGTTTCCCTAACAGCTAGCTAGTGTTTTCAGTGTGGTACCCTGCACTGAAAATTTAAAACAGATTTACTGCCATAAAAACGTAAAAGTTAATCGTTTGACAAATTGTTAAATAAAGAAAAAACACAAAAAAGATCATGGTTGATATTTAATACATTTTCCAAAAATAAGTTATACTTTTACAAAAACAACATGTTCAGTTCTCTTCTGATATCTCCAGAATAGATCAATCAGATTATTTTTTTTGCTGGCTATGTCCCACACAAGAGATTTCCCTTTACTTTCTGTCATGGAGACACAACAGGAAATAGGAAAGAATCTCATTTAAGTTGACCGAATTCCAATCTTAGAGAGTTGACATAGGAACAGATGTCTGCATTGTAATGGCCTGTACACACGATAAGAAAATGGTAGGAAAATTTCCGTACAAGGAACAATCAGCCAATTATCTGATTGTTGGTAGCAAAAAAGATTTTCCCTTGAGTGAGCAGGGGTACCCACAACAAGTTCAAATCTTTTTTTTCCCCTGAAGTTCAACTTTGTGACATCACTACTTTATCAGTAAGTAGTACCTGCAATACTTACCAAACTGTTTCAGTTTGTTTCAACTACAGCCCCAAAGGGTAATTATCCCCCGGGTGCACAAATACAAAGCACTTCCCAGCAGACCTAATTGCATAAAATTAGGGCAAGTGAAAATTATATCTACATGCTGAAAGCATCTCCTCTCCTTTTGCCCAACTGGATTATGCTTCTTCTCACCAAACCTCACGTCCTTATATGCTATGTCACCATTTTTCATCTAATGTCCCTCCCCCACTCTTCTTTCTTTTCAAACTCGCTTCCTGGGCATGAAAACCACCTGGACTATTGCACTTCAGTGGGTGCATAGAAAGTGACATCATAGTGGTATTAAACCCAAAAAAACAAAAATGTAATATATTACAGGTTACCAATCCTTAAATGTGGTGGCTGCATTACTTTAACCTTTTTTCTTCCTTTTTTCACTTGGTGATCCGGCCAGTAACACACTTCCTGTCTTAGGGAGTCTCCACTCTGTATGGAGGAGGAATGGAGACACCTTTGGACGGCAGCACTGTCAGTCTTGGTTGAGGGAAGTGTTAGATGTACTAGAGATTTAGATGGGCGTACCCCTGAGGACGTGCATGTACACAAAACACGTTGGGTGGAGCTTACGTGCTGACGTCACGCCGCCGTATCCGTGACTAGGAGCGGCGGCCATCTTGGTATGTGAATGCACCCATGTCTGTTCATCTATCCACGTGGAATGTTTTATACCTATTTTAATAAAAGTACTACACTATATATCACTTTCTGGACTCCGTGTGGTGAGCTTTCTTCCTAGGATAAGTCCTTTTGGCTAATCTAAGCATTTTATCTGAGTGATCAGCGATTACTGCTACCAGTAGCTTTCTGAATAAGTTCGTTTGGCTAAAGATTCTAAGCATTTCATCTGAGTGATCAGCGATTACTGCTATCAGTAACTTTCTGGATAAGTTTGTTTGGCTAAAGATTCTAAGCATTTCATCTGAGTGACCAGCGCTTACTGCTACTATACCAGTAGCTTTCTGGTGAGTGCATAGTGGTGGTGGAATGTTTCACTGGATCCTTCAGCACCTGTTTGGAATTGAACACGTTGATGCTGTGTCTTATAGTGCCACTGACACATTATTTGTTCACCTAATGGACAGTACGGTTGTCACATTGACATATACTTGATGAATTTCATTTGTTCATTGCTTCACTGAGTTATACGTTATTAATTTTGCACCTATGTCTCACTGAGAGATACTTATTTAATTTGTACTGGTGTTTTATTTGGTTTTGATCATTTAATATTTATATCATATAAATAATATTTTAGCGCTGTACTACATACATATATGTTGTTGTGAGATTTGCTGTCACTATCTCTTGTGCTGGCTGCTTTGAAGTTTCCTTATAAGCGCTCACCATATACCTGTATTTATAGAGATTTAGATGTACTTGACTAAAAAATGAAAAGCTGAACTCCAGCTAACAGTGTTTAAACCTTTAAAGCAAGGGTCACCAAACTTTCTAAACAAAGGCCAGTTTACAGTCCTTTACACTTTAGGGGGGCTAGTGGGAGTAGAAATTGTCCAGGCATCAGTGGGAGTGAACAGTGTTCAATCTTTAATTTTAGGAGGAGGAATAATGACCCATTGCTGGTGTCAGTGTGAAGAATAGTGCCCCATTGCTGGAGTTAGTGTGAGAAATTGTACCCCATGGTTGGTGTTGGTGTCAATGTCAGGAATTATACCCAATTGTCGGCATCAGTAGGATTAATAGTGTCTTACATCAGTGGGAGGGATGGTGCCCAAAGGGCTCAAAAAGGCAAGCAAATGGCAGCATCTGGTCCCTGGGCCACAATTTGGAGACCCCTGCTTTGAAGGCACAGGTTTTATTTCACCGTTAGGACAAAGGTTTTACATAAATGAATAAAAGCTGCCCATTGAAAGCACCCCTGTCAAAGTTAAATCTGCAAACGTGACAGGTCCCAGAAGACTATGAGACTATTCACAAAATGCAGTGCTAATCACGCATGCACTGTGCCATACTGAAGATGCTGGTGTCAGGGACACAGGACAGCCGTGAACACACCACTAGATCACGGGACAGGTAAGTGTCTGTTTTTTAATCGTCAACAGCTGCAGTTTTTGTAGCTGCTGATTTTTATTTTTTTTTATTTTGCTGAGCTCCGATTTAAATTGTTTGTCTCAGCCATCTAACTGCCACTTTTCTCTGGATAACTTGGTTTATTAAAGGAAGTTGAAAAATAACAGCCACCATATCTAATGAATGTTAAGTTGCAATATAATACATTTTTGTTTTTGGGTTAAATACCACTTTAAATAATATACAAAATATTTATCTTACTACTATAAAGTTTTCAATGACCATGAATGGGATGCGTTCTCTTTATTTTGTATGTTACATAAATATAGATTCTGCCACTTATGTAATCTACATACACAGTACTTTGCCTCCACAAAGTCCCGCTCCTAGGAACATACAATTTACATTCTGTACATTCCGAGCACAGTTTATGGTTTAGAAATCAGCATGGCCTCATACCCTGCTTTCTGGTGGTCATGTATCATACTGTGCAGATCTATCTCTTTATAGAGCTTTAAGCACAAAATAAAAAGCTCCATAAATACAAAGGCATACAAAAATCTATCAGTGTCACAGATGGTAAACAGTATCCTTGTATTGGTCTCAGCTCTGTCGCCTAATGAAAACTTTATGACAAACTAGATTTTCCTAATGTCTTTTCAATTTCCTTGCCAAGCATTTTCCAAGACCATAGCTGGCAATATTTTGAAAGAACAGGACACTCCAGGGAAACTCTCAGTGTTATTACAAAAAAGAAGAACGAGAAATTGTAGCCTTGTGCCACTCCTTAAGGGCAGAAATCCTGAAGTCATCAGCACACTTCAGAAATACTATCATATAAAACCTTATTCTTTTACAGATTGTTTTCCTACCAGGATTATTACCCTTACACAGCACCAATAACCATAAATAGCCCTTATTATGAGAAGTTGGTTCAATAGGTTACTGTGTATTGTGCAATTTCTCTCACCATAAGACTAATTCCGTTCTTACTGCTTAATGTCCCTTGTAATTGTGTTCTCTGCTAAATGCTAAAATGTAGATTATAATATAGAAATGCAGATTGAATTATAAATAGAAAAATAAAAAGGTCAGAAATAGACTATGATATTATAGTTCAAATTAGGAGCAGGAAATGTGTTTTAACCTTCAAAAGATTTCAATTAGGCACCTTAGAGCTTTCAGCAATCGCTCAACAAAACCATGTGATCAAAGTTGTTCAAATTGTTGGGAACAGATTATTGTAACTTCACAGTGTAGAGTGATTACTTGGGGAAAAAAGGACAAATACCCACACTGTAGAATTATTGTACAAACTACCAATCTGCACCTAGCATTATACCAAGTATAGTGAAGACCTAAAGTATATGTTGTTTTCACCATTCTGCTTTAGTCGTTAAAAGAGAAGTTCACCTTTGTAAAAAAAAAAATATACATATATATATATATATATATATATATATATATATATATATATATATGCACATCTTTTTGCAAGTTAAAAAAGGTGCATTTATTATTTTTTTACAATTCAGTCTGTATGGCATTGCACCCGCAATCATCAGATTGTGGATCCTGCAGACTCTCTCAGTATACTGTCTGCCTGTACATCGTACAGGCAGGCAGTTGCTGAATGCAAGGATGTATCAATGAGCTATCTAGAGTGCTAGCCAGCGCCCTGGTAGTTTACTGAAAACTACAAGCCATTAGTTGCAAAGACTGATGGTAGTTGTAGTTCTTTCATTCACAGAATTCAATGAATGAAGAACATGGATGGGTAGGCGGAGCCCCGCATGGGTGCGTTTTTATTAAATAGTGACAGTGAGTCACTTAAATATTGACAGCAAGTGCAGGGAGAAGATCCCTGGCTTGCTGTCACAGGGAGGCAGTGAATTAGGGAGAGGCTGCAGGAATGGGAACCTGTTACATGTTCCACTCGAAAAACGGGTGGAACGTGTGATGTGTTCCCAAAGGCGATCTTATCCTTTAAGACTTCTAACAGTGCATACTTCATTCAGCTCTCCTCAATGACTCACAAGTGAGATAATCAGAAAAGAACTCAAAAATACTCTCCTCAACTGATTGTGTTTTTTTTACACCTCTTCTGGTGGTAGCAACTGGTAATCAAAATTTTCTCTCTTTGCTTTCCTGCTGTTCACCAACCAGTCTTGTGTCTGCTCCTCATCATGAAATCATGCTACAATACATCTCTGCAGCTCTGTGCAGACCATGTGATGGACACTTGTGAAAGCCAATGCAGGAAGTTGTGTATGGGAACTGAACACTGGACCGCTCCACAATACAGACTAATAGAAAAAAAGACCTGGGACCTGGCATGTCACACAACTAGAGTAATGGGTAGGTAACTGGGGATATTACATACATTTTTTAAAAAATAAAAAAGTATAAATTGATAAAGTGGGGTGGAGCATGAAATGAGCTTTAAAGGACATCATTCCCTCATTGGACAAAACATTGCAGAAGCTCAATTGCTAGTGAGAGAGTAGTGACTAAACAAGATATTGATGGCTCAGCTGGAAAGGGAGAGACACTATAGGAGATATAAGTACCTGTAATAAATAAATACATTTGTGATTAAACCATTTACTCTGACATGGGCCTTACACTGGTTAGCAATTAATGCAATTCTGTGTCTATGGGATAATGGGAAAAATATGCAATTGTAGTGGTCCTTAAAGATTTCAAAAGAGCTTTGGCTGTACTTCTCCTTTAAATCCCAAACTTACTGACCTTTCAACAAAACAGGGCAAATATAAATGAGGAATTGTCAGGTGAAGCAACCACAGCAGCCAAATTTCTGTTTACTAAAGAGGTCTTTCATAAATGGTTGTTGGAGTTTCAGCACCTAACCCTCCCTGTTTGTTATTTGCCTTAATTACTGTATATCTAAAGTCAAAACTTTATAGGTTCGAATAGAGTTGGAAATGGTTGAAACTGTAATGTTTCTTTTTTTTCAGTATGTGTTTCCCATTGGGGAGATATTCCTTTACTTTTTGCCTCATTAGAAGATTTCCCCTTTTTTGCATTATCCCATTACTTTCCGTTCCATTGAGAATGGTCAATAGAAAAGGTAAATTTCCCCAGCTGGGACAAAGGCAGCAACAACCACCGAACAGTGGTTTTACTCCTTCCCCAAAAAACAGTTTTGGCTTCAGATACACTTTAATGAACAAGCCAGTTACTGTTAATTTTGATATATCTTTTCTGTCCTGCTGCCCCTGTGTTCATTTGATGCATCATTTCAAAGGTTTAGGTTACACATTCAGCAGCACTATATAAAAATGAAAAAACACAAAATATAAATCTCTGCTCCATCCCTTTTGTTTATGATGAAATGTGTAAGTGCATGCTCTAACTTCTAAAAGATTATAATGTAGTAAATTACTTACCCTTCAAAGCAATGGGCAACAGTCAACACCCATCTTTTCCCTATAAGAACACAGCCACAGATGTGCCCACTTGGTTCACTCTGTAGGGAACACTGCCAAGGCCATCGTCCAGGTCGGCTGGTTCTACCACCAAGGATCCTCTTGCTCATTCTGGCTGCAGGGCGACGTCCACAGTCTGCAAAACACGAGGATCATACCTTCACATATGTTCTACTAAACCAACTTTAGGTACATGCTTGGAAACACAAAAGAACATCATATAGCTTGGCCCTAAGATTCCTTTTGGGCTAATGTGGCCATGTACAAAGATTCACACAAAATAGATCAGATCAAAATATTCCCATATGATCCTGTAGTAATTATATAGAAAGCATGTTCTGCTACTGATTTTTCCAAAGCTTTATCATGTAATAGCTACAGATGCTTATGCTTACAAAATGCATAAAGACCATTCCTAATCTTAAAATCTGGTGTCCTACATATACAGTTGTTACTCCTAAGCATTTGAACATTTGTTAAAATAAAACACTAAACTATATCTTAAGCCAAAACATGACTATGGAAGGGTTAGAACACCTGTCAGGTTTGTATTGCCATCTGTGTCCCTGCCATGGAGACTTAACCTCCATTTTTGTCCTGGTGACTACTGTTAGCAGACAGAAAGTGATAGGAAATCCAGTATTTTACAGATGTTACCAGGACAGAAGTATAAGTATTATGTTTTGATAGGGCATTCATACTATGGATGACTATATACGAGGGAATTGTATTTCACTTTAACATGATTCTCTAATATATACTGTATTTTTGTCTAAAAACTTGTACCTTTAGATTGTAAGCTCCACAAGCAGGGCCCTCTTATTCCTTTTGTACTGAAATGTATTGTAATTGTACTGTCTCCCATTATATTGTAAAGCGCTGCGCAAACTGTTGGCGCTATATAAATCCTGTATAATAATAATAATATACCTTTAAATAGTTACATTATAATAAAAAAAACAGTCCTACTTACTGACCTGTATTTTTCCTGTACCAAGTTTTTATCATTCATAAATGATAACACAATATTAGCTAACTGCTGATACTACCAGTTAAAGTGGTTGTAAACCTCAGACATGAAATATGAACAAAGCATATCCCTCTACAGTGTATACTTGTCTCAGTCCAGTGCAACTGTCATTTCTGTCTGCTGCCGCGCACCTCTGCTTTCTGCATGAGTAAAAAGTTTTCCTGACACGAAGAAAAAAAAGGTAATGGGAGGGAGCTCCAGCACACACGCACAGCCTATGATTGACAGCCTCAATTCTGTTTCTGTGTGTTGTGTGAACGGGGTAGGGCCCTTCCCTCCAATCAGCTCTCAACTCTCCTCACTGAGCTCTGTAGAATGTAACTTCAGATCCCTGCCTCCTGATTTCTGAAATCTCAGACAAGCTGTAAACATTCTTGACTTTGAATGGCTGTAGAGAAGAGAAGGCTCCAGATAAACACATACAATGTGAGGCCAGTTGCTTCATTGGGTAAAGGTAAGGGTTGCAACCACATTAACTATTGTGGTCAATGAGCTACCAAACATAATTCCTATTTCATTTGAAGAAGAATGAAGTCAGAAGCTTCATCTGCTTTATTTTGCTTATGTCTAACTGCATCATTCCTGACCCTCTCTATACCTTATTATCTGGCATATGTACCACTTTGTGAAGACAAATGAAAATTGTAATTAAGACCTGAGTTTTTGCTTGTCATGTACATTATTTAACTTTATATTAGGCAATATAATGACAAGAATTAGGGACAATAGCTCATTTTGTGTGTCTCGCTGTGTCTGCCACCAGTTAAGCACCTGTGGCAGTTTGTAAAGTAGCAGCAGGTTGCCGGGTGCAGGAATTCTCTCTGTGCTCCATTATCTGGCACTGAAAGAACACCTGTATTACTGTCATGCAGAGAAATCTCTGTTAGATGGTGCAGGGATAGTGTCTAGCTGGATAGGGGATAAAAGGAGAGTGGTGTAGGAGAATGTGATCAATAAGTAAACACTGACTACCAATGTGAGGGCTGGGGGTGGGTTGGATAACAGGACTGCCACAGACCGGCATTGCAAAATAGAGGTGGGTTAACAACACTGCAAATGACCATCATTGTCAGGTTGGGGGGGGGGGGGTAACAGCACTGCCAGTCTCCAGCAATGCAAGGTGAGAGGGCTACCAGCGTTGTCATTGCCTAACAATGCATGTGGGGGAGGGGGGGGTTACTGCCACTACACTAAAGCCAATGCTGGGGGTCATTATTACAGAACCTGAACCTGGTACCAATGATTGGGGCTATTATTTAGTCCACTAACACCAATGCTGGAGGTTTTCAGGGTGCCCATTGACACATACTTGGGGTTGTTATTGGAGAAATGTATACCAATGCTAAGGGTTAATATTGCAGCCACTAACACCACTGGAGGTTATTATTCCAGCAGCATGGAGCTGTCATAATGCATGGGTACCCCTGGACACTGCCCAGGGGCCCCAGGTACATGGGGGCCCCATTATAATCTTGCATTACTTCATACTTGCCAACTGTCCTGAATTTGCTGGGACAGTCACACTTTCTTACTAAGCTGTTTAAGGATGGCCTGCGAAGTGCCCCTGAACATGTACTGGGCTTCCTGATCCCAGTATTGTGCATTCCTGACTCCCCCTGTACTGTGCCCTTCTTCCCCCGTGTTGATTAGTCTTTCCTTTATGGCATGTGTTTTTACTGAACCAATTTTATTCAAAGTACTAATAAATATATGTTTAACCACTAGCCTACAGGGTACTTATACCCCCTTCCTGCCCAGGCCAATTTCCAGCTCTCAGCGCTGTTGCACTTTGAATGACAATTGCGCAGTTATGCAACACTGTACCCATATGAAATTTTTATCATTTTTTGTGACAGATAGAGCTTTATTTTGGTGGTATTTAATCACCTCTGGGTTTTTTATTTTTTCTAAACAAACCAAAAAAACCACTGCAAATTTTGAAAAAAAAAAAAGTTTTTTCTTAGCTTTTGTTATACAATTTTGTAAATAAGTGATTTTTCTCCTTCACTGATGTGCGCTAATGAGGTTGCAGTGATGGGCACTGATAGACTGCACTGATGGACACTGATAGGTGGCACTGATGGGCACTGATGAGGAGACCCTGGTAGGTGGCACTGATGGGCATTGACAAGCATCACTGATGGGCACTGAAAGGCAGCACTCATATATGGCACTAATAGGTGGCACTGATAAGCGGCACTGATAGGCGGTACTGACTGGCACTGTTAGGCGACACTGATGCACACTGATAGGCAGCACTGACTGGCACTGATAGGCGGCACTGGCTGGCACTGATAGGTGGCACTGATTGGCAGCACTGCTAGGTGGCACTGACTGGCATTGATAGGTGGCACTGACTGGCACTGATGGGTGACACTGAAAGGCCTATATATATATATATATACAGTCATGGCCGAAATTTGTTGGCACCCTTGATATTTCTCCAGGAAATCATGTATTTCTCACGAAACGTATTGCATTAACACATGTTTTGCTATACACATGTTTATTCCCTTTGTGTGTATTGGGACAAAACAAAAAAAGGGAGGAAAGAAAGCAAATTCGACATAATGTCACACAAACCTCCAAAAATGGGCTGGACAAAAGTATTGGCACCCTTTCACAACTGCGGATAAATAAGAATGTTACAAGCATGTGATGCTCCTGTAAACTCACCTGGGGCAAGTAACAGGTGTGGGCAATATAGAAATCACACCTGAAAGCAGATAAAAAGGAGAGACGTTCACTTAACCTTTGCATTGTGTGTCTGTCTGTGCCACACTAAGCATGGACAACAGAAAGAGGAGACGAGAACTGTCTGAGGACCTGAGAACCAAAATTGTGGCAAAATATCAACAATCTCAAGGTTACAAGTCCATCTCCAGAGAACTAGATTTGCCTTTGTCCACAGTGCGCAACATTATCAAGAAGTTTGCAACCCATGGCACTGTAGCTAATCTCCCTGGTCGTGGACGGATGAGGAAAATTGATGAAAGATTGCAACGCAGAATAGTCCGGATGGTGGATAAGCAGCCCCAAACATGTTCCAAAGACATTCAAGCTGTCCTGCAGGCTCAGGGAGCATCAGTGTCAGCAGCGCAACTATCCGTCGACATTTAAATGAAATGAAACGCTATGGCAGGAGACCCAGGAGGACCCCACTGCTGACACAGAGACATAAAAAAGCAAGACTACAGTTTGCCAAAATGTACTTGAGTAAGCCAAAAGCCTTCTGGGAAAACGTCTTGTGGACAGATGAGACCAAGATAGAGCTTTTCGGTAAAGCACATCATTCTACTGTTTACCGAAAACGGAATGAGGCTACAAAGAACAAAACACAGTACCTACGGTAAAATATGGTGGAGGTTCAATGATGTTTTGGGGTTGTTTTGCTGCCTCTGGCACTGGGTGCCTTGACTGTGTGCAAGGCATCATGAAATCTGAGGATTACCAAAGGATTTTGGGTCGCACTGTAGGGCCCAGTGTCAGAAAGCTGGGTTTGCGTCCAAGATCCTGGGTCTTCCAGCAGGACAATGACCCCAAACATACGTCAAAAAGCACTCAGAAATGGATGGCAAAGAAGCGCTGGAGAGTTCTGAAGTGGCCAGCAATGAGCCCAGATCTAAATCCCATTGAACACCTGTGGAGAGATCTTAAAATTGCTGTTGGGAAAAGGTGTCCTTCCAATAAGAGAGACCTGGAGCTGTTTGCAAAGGAAGAGTGGTCCAAAATTCCGGGTGAGAGGTGTCAGAAGCTTATTGATGGTTATAGGAAGCGACTGATTTCAGTTATGTTTTTCCAAAGGGTGTGCAACCAAATATTAAGTTAAGGGTGCCAATACTTTTGTCCAGCCCATTTTTGGGGTTTTGTGTGACATTATGTCATATTTGCTTTTCTGCCTCTGTTTTATATTTGTTCCAATACATACAAAGGGAATAAACATGTGTATAGCAAAACATGTGTTAATGCAATACCTTTTTTGTGTGAAATACTTGATTTTCAGGAAAAATATCAAGGGTGCCAACAATTTCGGCCATGACTGTATATATATATATATATTGTACAGTCACATCAGTCCCTAACCCTTAAGGAGTGTACAATCTTAG